CAACACACTAATGCTAATGTCACACAAGCTAACGCTAACGCTAACACAACACGCTAATGCTAATGTCACAAGCTAACGCTAACACAACACGCTAACGCTAACACAACACGCTAACACAACACGCTAACACACACACGCTAACACAACAAACACACACAACACGCTAACCTGCTGAGTCATGATAGATTTTGTAGATTTTTTTGATTTTGTGTGATTCTTTTCTATTTTCACAACATAAACTTTTGAATATTTTTAAATCCTTTTTATCAGACTGAGCCTCGTCGCTCTGATTGGTCCAAACCAGAGTCCGTGCACATAAACGGACAGAGTGAACACATTGGTCGTTATTTTAGTTTTAATTGTTTGTATAAACTCGTGACACATGATCCTGATGTTTTTATTTCTCTATTTTGTCCCTAAATTAAGATCTGAACATAAATAACGGACCAATCAGACGCCTTCATTCCCCGAGGTCCCGCCCACTAGTCTTAGCAGCAGGTTTGATTGACAGCTGGTGTGTTTCAGGTCGGGACGTTTAAACCTCCGCATCATGACTGAGTCTGGGGTTTGATTTAATGTGACCACATCAGTTTGTCCAAGTCTGATCCTGTCAGATCTCACAAGCCTCAGCAGGACCGGACCTGGTCTGGACTTGGTCTGGACCTGGTCAGGACCTGGTCTGGACTTGGTCTGGACCTGGTCTGGACCTGGTCTGGACTTGGTCTGGACTTGGTCTGGACTTGGGAAAAGCAACACTGGGAAAATCAGGAGCCACAGGAGGCGCCAGATGCAAAAACTGTCTTTGTGTCCTTAGGCAAGACACTTCACCCACACTGCCCAGTATGTGGAGTGTGTGTGTGTGTGTGTGTGTGTGTGTGTGTAGTGTGTGTGTGTGTGTGAGTGTGTGTGTGTGAGTGTGCGTGTGTGTGTGTGTGTGTGTGTGCGTGTGTGTGTGTGTGTGTGTGTGTGAGTGTGTGTGTGTGTGTGTGTGTGTGTGTGTGTGTGTGTGTGTGTGTGTGTGTGTGTGTGCGTGTGCGTGTGTGTGTGTGTGTGTGTGTGTGTGTGTGCTGGTGGTCAGAGGGACTGATGGTGCAGATTGGCAGCCTCACTTCTGTCAGTCTGCCCCAGGGCAGCTGTGGCTGCAGTTGTAGTTTACACCTCCAGGTGTGGAGAGAAAGAATAAAACTGAATAATGTTCTTTGTCTTATGTGTTTGTGACAGATGTTTGTGAATGTTTGTGTTTGTAATAAAGACTTAGTTACTGTGACACTCGTGTTCAGATCATCAAACAAACACGTTCAGATTTGATTCTCGTCCAAACTCAAGTCAAATGTGATCGTCACTTATAAAAGTGTCCACAAGAGGGAGCAAGACCAGGACTAAACCAGGACTAAACCAGGACTAAACCTGGACTAAACCAGGACTAGACCAGGACTAAACCAGGACTAAAACCAGACTAAGACTAAACCTGGACTAAACCAGGACTAAACCAGGACTAAACCAGGACTAAACCAGGACTAAACCAGGACTAAACCAGGACTAAACCAGGACTAAACCAGGACTAAACCTGGACTAAACCAGGACTAGACCAGGACTAAACCAGGACTAAACCAGGACTAAACCACCTGGACTAAACCAGGACTAAACCAGGACTAAAACCAGGACTAGAACCAGGACTAAACCAGGACTAAACCAGGACTAAACTGAAACCAGGACTAAACTAAACCAGGACTAAACCAGGACTAAACCAGGACTAAACCAGGACTAAACCAGAACTGAACAGGACTAAACCAGGACTAGACCAGGACTAAACCAGACTAAAACCAGGACTAAACCAGAACTGAACCAGGACTAAACCAGGACTAGACCAGGACTAACCAGACTAAACCAGGACTAAACCAGGACTAAACCAGGACCAGGACTAAACCAGGACTAAAACCAGACTAAACCAGGACTAGACCAGGACTAAACCAGAACTGAACCAGGACTAGACCAGGACTAGACCAGGACTAAACCAGAACCAGGACTAAACCAGGACTAAACCAGGACTAGACCAGGACTGAACCAGGACTAGACCAGGACTAAACCAGGACTAAACCAGGACTAAACCAGAACTGAAACCAGGACTAAACCAGGACTAAACCAGAACTGAACCAGGACTAAACCAGGACTAACCACCAGAAAACTGAACCAGGACTAAACCTGGACTAAACCAGGACTAAACCAGGACTAAACCAGAACTGAACCAGGACTAAAACCAGGACTAACCAGGACTAAACCAGGACTAAACCAGAAAAGAACCAGGACTAAACCAGGACTAACCAGAACTGAACCAGGACTAAACCAGGACTAGACCAGGAACTGAACCAGGACTAGACCAGGACTAAACCAGGACTAAACCAGGACTAAACCAGGACTAAACCAGAACTGAACCAGGACTAAACCAGGACTAGACCAGGACTAGACCAGGACTAGACCAGGACTAAACCAGGACTAACCAGAACTGAACCAGGACTAAACCAGGACTAGACCAGGACTAAACCTGAACTGAACCAGGACTAATCCAGAACTGAACCAGGACTAAACCAGGACTGAACCAGGACTGAACCAGGACTAAACCAGGACTAGACCAGAACTGAACCAGGACTAAACCTGGACTAAACCAGGACTGAACCAGGACTAAACCAGGACTAGACCAGAACTGAACCAGGACTAAACCAGGACTAAACCAGGACTGAACCAGGACTAAACCAGGACTAAACCAGGACTAGACCAGGACTAAACCAGGACTAAACCAGGACTAAACCAGGACTAAACCAGGACTAAACTAAACCAGAACTGAACCAGGACTAAACCAGGACTAGACCAAGACTGAACTAGGACTAAACCAGAACTGAACCAGGACTAAACCAGGACTAAACCAGGACTAAACCAGGACTAGACCAGGACTAAACCAGGACTAAACCAGACCAGGACTAAACCAGGACTAAACCAAACCAGGACTAAACCAGGACTAAACCAGAACCAGGACTAAACCAGGACTAAACCAGGTCTAAACCAGGTCTAAACCAGGTCTAAACCAGGTCTAAACCAGGTCTAAACCTTGCTGTGTCTTTGTGCCCTTGAGCAGGACTCTGTGTGAGTGTTTGTTTGTGTTTGTGCAGGTCTGACGTGGGAGGACGACGTCACTCAGAGGATTCTCTCTAAAGAACTGTCCAAACTGAGGAGGATCCCCATGAGACCCCAGGCAGGACCGGGACCGGGATCAGGACCTGGACCGGGACCTGGACTGGGATCAGAGCCGGTCTACAGCCCCGAAGGCCGGGCTCAGGTGGTGCAGCCGGTGGAGCAGGAACTGAGGAGGAACCTGCAGGTTTATCTCCAGAGACTCGGACTCCTGCCCAGAACATCTCCACAAGTGAGTCACACAAGAGAGAGAGAATAACAAACGACAGGAGGGAGGAAAGAGAGAATAAATGATGAGAGAGAGAGAGAGGAGAGGAGGATAAATGACAGGAGAGGAGAAAAGAGAGGAGGATGAACGACGGGGGAGAAGGTGAGAGAGAAATCTTAGAAGAATAAACAAAGAGGAGAGAGGAAACTTTACACCAGAAGATGAATATGACGAGTTGTGGAGCTGATTCCAAACACAGAAAGAGAAAGAGAAACATCTGAGGAGCAGAAGTTTGGAGATTTGAATCCACAGAGTTACACATGAGTCTGGTCAAGTAACGGAGGGAAACAGGGTCAGATTTTTGACATTCAAATGTGTCTTATTCAGAAACTAGAGGAACTATTGAAATAAGTAAAGTATCAGAATGTAGGAAAGAGTTACACTCCAACAGGGTCAAGTTAAACCTGTGAGATTCTTTCAAGTTCAAGACAAAAAATGTAAAAACTCATGTCGGTAACGGAGGGAATGAAATATGCAGCACTTTTTGGTCAATAAATCCAAACAGTGATAACTCTTGGTTCTCACTTACATATCCTTAACAAACTGGTTTGAATATTTGCTTCATATAGTTTTCTACCATATGGTACAAGATTAGGTTGAAAAACCTCTGACTTTTTGACTCATGAGATTTTTTATTAAGAAAGTTCATGGTAACGGAGGGAAAAGTAACGGAGGGAAAATTGTACAAACAAGTAGAAGGTGCAGGATTTTACATCATTTGTCACTTTTTTCTTCTGAATACTTTAATATTACTTCAAAATGAAAGGAAACTATTTCTATAAAATATGTCAGTCCTTCCAAGAACATTTTTATAATTTTAAATAATTTATTTATTTATTTTTAATCCTGTCCCTTCATCAACAGTTCAAAGATGGAATAACACAAGATATGATGAAATACATCCATTTATTTACATGATTTTCAGGTCTTTGAAATTTGGGAAATAATTTTTGTTCCATGTTTCATACATGGTCTGTTTAAAACATATGGAACTTTAGAACCAAAAATGGAACAGAAAAAAGGTGAACAGTTTGATAAACTAGAGCACATATGTATCTGTTCAATACATTTTTATATCAGATGAATTAACTTGAAGTTTTGACCTTGTTGTTTACTTCTGTTTGACTGGGACCATCTGTCTAAACTACAGAGTCAGCAGTTTTTACACAGAATAGGACTTCATGGAGACACGGGGAGGGCATCTGACATAATCCTCTGTGTTTTGTTGTGTTTTCAGGTCAGTCGTCTCCAGCCTTCAGCTCCAGTGAAGCCTCCTCTGCTCCCACAGAAGATCTCACAGGTAACACCAGATCAGTTCAGTGTTGGACTGATATGGATCTAGATCACGTGTTTACTCTTCTCGTTCTTCTCGTTCTTCTCGTTCTTCTCGTTCTTCTCGTTGTTGTTGTCAGGACACAGACGAGCGCCTCCTGGTGGACGCTCTGAGGCGGCTCTTCTCCTCGGGGGCGTCTCAGGACGTGGACGTGGGCAGAGAGGTTCCTCCTGCCCGTCCTCGTCCCTCCTCGGGCGGGAGCAGAGCCGGAGCACGAGCCCCCCTCAGCTCTGTGGACGGTGAGTCACATGACACACACCCCATCTGTACTCGAGTAAAAGTATCGAACAGCAGAAAATACTTTTAAAACACCAAATACAGTGTTCCCTCGTTTACCGCGAGAGTTTACGTAAAAAAAAAACAACCCGTGACGAAGTGGATCATTGTAAACTTTATATTTTACATTGATTCTATCTGTTTTAAGTCTGTAAAACCTCAGCACAAACTTTATTCACTTTTCTCACACTTTAAACTTCTCGCTGCTGTCGTTTTTTTTCTTATTTTCCTCCTTTTTTATGTAACGAACTGAAGATTCATTTATTCCAACTCACACCTGCGCAGTACAGGACCGCACCTGCCCACACCTGTCCACACCTGTCCACACCTGCCCACACCTGTCCACACCTGTCCACACCTGCCCACACCTGCCCACACCTCCACACCTGTCCACACCTGCCCACACCTGCCCACACCTGTCCACACCTGCCCACACCTGTCCACACCTGTCCACACCTGTCCACACCTGCCCACACCTGCCCACACCTGTCCACACCCGCCACACACCCTGTCCACACCTGTCCACACCCTGCCCACACCCTGCCCACACCTGCCACACCTGTCCACACCCGTCCCACACCCGCCCACACCTGCCACACACCCGCCCACACCTGCCCACACCTGTCCACACCCGCCCACACCTGCCCACACCTGTCCACCACCCTGTCCACACCTGTCCACACCTGCCACACCTGCCCACACCTGCCCACACCCGCCCACACCCGCCCACACCTGCCCACACCTGTCCACACCCCCACACCTGCCACACCTGTCCACACCTGTCCACACCTGTCCACACCCGTCCACACCCGCCCACACCCGCCCACACCTGCCCACACCTGCCCACACCTGCCCACACCTGTCCACACCTGTCCACACCTGCCACACCTGTCCACACCTGTCCACACCCGTCCACACCCGCCCACACCTGCCCACACCTGTCCACACCCGTCCACACCCGCCACACCTGTCCACACCTGCCCACACTGCCCACACCTGTCCACCACCCGTCCACACCCGCCCACACCTGCCCACACCTGTCCACACCTGTCCACACCCGTCTGTTAACCCGAGATTATATCAAACTTTTGCACTGCACACAGCACGGACTAAAACAGGACTGAACCAGGACTAAACCAGGACTGAACTAGAACTGGTTCAGTCCTGGTTTAGTCCTGGTTCAGTCCTGTTTTAGTCCTGGTTTAGACCTGGTTTAGTCCTGTTTTAGTCCTGGTTTAGTCCTGGTTTAGTCCTGGTTTTAGACCTGGTTTAGTCCTGTTTTAGTCCTGGTTCAGTCCTGGTTTAGTCCTGTTTTAATCCTGGTTTAGTCCTGTTTTAGTCCTGGTTTAGTCCTGGTTTAGTCCTGTTTTGTCCTGGTTTAGACCTGGTTTAGTCCTGTTTTAGTCCTGGTTTAGTCCTGGTTTAGTCCTGGTTTAGACCTGGTTTAGTCCTGTTTTGTCCTGGTTCAGTCCTGGTTTAGTCCTGTTTTAATCCTGTTTTAGTCCTGTTTTAGTCCTGGTTTAGTCCTGGTTCAGTCCTGTTTAGTCCTGTTCAGTCCTGTTTTAGTCCTGGTTTAGTCCTGGTTTAGACCTGGTTTAGTCCTGTTTTAGTCCTGGTTCAGTCCTGGTTTAGTCCTGTTTTAATCCTGTTTTAGTCCTGTTTTAGTCCTGGTTTAGTCCTGGTTCAGTCCTGTTTTAGTCCTGGTTTAGACCTGGTTTAGACCTGGTTTAGTCCTGTTTTAGTCCTGGTTTAGTCCTGTTTTAGTCCTGGTTTAGACCTGGTTCAGTCCTGGTTTAGTCCTGTTTTAATCCTGTTTTAGTCCTGTTTTAGTCCTGTTTTAGTCCTGGTTCAGTCCTGGTTTAGTCCTGGTTTAGTCCTGGTTTAGTCCTGGTTTAGTCCTGGTTCAGTCCTGGTTTAGTCCTGGTTTAGTCCTGGTTTAGTCCTGGTCTTCACTGAGGTTCTGGTTAATGTACAGAAGTGGGTTTTGGATCAGTATCGTCTCCATGGAAACCTGCAGGCGTCTGACCCTCGTGTGTAAAAGTCCGTCAGTGAGCTTTAAGTCCGTGGTTCTGTTCCGTGCGGTTGTTCCAGAGCGTTTCATCCAGGGCGTCCTGAGGAACATCGGGCGGGAGAACGTGGACGTGGACTCTCTGTCTCCTCACGACGTGGACCAGCTCTCCGCCTTCATCGCCGACGCCCTGCAGCTGGTCGACCGGGACCGGAGCCCGGACCGGAACCAAGACCGGAGCCAAGTCCAGAGCCGGGATCTGAGCCGGGAACAGAGCGAGGGACAGACCGGACCAGAACCCAGAGACCCGGAGCCAGAGACGCAAGAAGAACCAAAGAGGAGCACAGAAACTCCAACCACACAAGAAGGTGACGAGAAGTCCTGGTTTAGTCCTGGTTTAGTCCTGGTTTAGTCCTGGTTTAGACCTGGTTTAGTCCTGGTTTAGTCCTGGTTTAGTCCTGGTTTAGTCTTGGATTAGACCTGGTTTAGTCTTGGATTAGACCTGGTTTAGTCCTGGTTTAGTCTTGGTTTAGACCTGGTTTAGACCTGGTTTAGACCTGGTTTAGACCTGGTTTAGTCTTGGATTAGACCTGGTTTAGTCCTGGTTTAGTCCTGGTTTAGACCTGGTTTAGTCCTGGTTTAGTCTTGGATTAGACCTGGTTTAGTCTTGGATTAGACCTGGTTTAGTCTTGGATTAGACCTGGTTTAGTCCTGGTTTAGTCTTGGTTTAGACCTGGTTTAGACCTGGTTTAGACCTGGTTTAGTCTTGGATTAGACCTGGTTTAGTCCTGGTTTAGTCCTGGTTTAGACCTGGTTTAGACCTGGTTTAGTCTTGGATTAGACCTGGTTTAGTCTTGGATTAGACCTGGTTTAGTCTTGGATTAGACCTGGTTTAGTCTTGGATTAGTTCTGGTTTAGTCCTGGTTTAGTCTTGGATTAGACCTGGTTTAGACCTGTTTTAGACCTGACGTAGTCCTGATTTACTCATGGTTTAGTTCTGTGTGTTAAACCTGGTTAGAATTCTGTTTTAGTCCTTGAATACTTCTGCTTTGGTCCTGGTTTAGACCTGGTTTAGACCTGGTTTAGACCTGGATTTGGTTTAGTCCTGGTTTAGACCTGGTTTGATTTTGTCTTAGTCCTGGTTTAGTCCTGGATTTGGATTAGACCAGGTTTAGACCTGGTTTAAACCTGGATTTGTCCTGGTTTGGTTTTGGTCTTGGTATTAGTCCTAATTAGGATTCTCATAGTCCTGGTTTAGTCCTGGTTTAGTCCTGGTTTAGATTTGCTTGTGGGACCCTGGTAGATCTGGTTTAGTCCTGGTTTAGTCCTGGTTTAGTCCTGGTTCAGTTCTGTTTTTTCTCCACAGAGCGCCGCGCTGAAGACCAGGAGCAGAGTGTGAAGGTACTTCGGAACTTTTCATTAATAAAAAAAAAAAAAAAAAATAAATTATGAATAATTTTTTAATTGAACAAAAAACCAGCAGAGCAGATGTTTGATTGACACTTCTGTTCTGATTCTGCCTGAAAACTCTGACTTCACTGTTTTCTAGTCTCTGTTAAAATGTTTCCTCAGACCTGGAGCTGTGTTTTGTTTCATTCACACTGTTCCACCTTGTGATGTCACGTGGTAAAACAGGAAGTGCTCCACTGTGTTTTTAAACTCCACAAACCTTCACTAGAACCAGTCCTGGAGTTTCCAATCTCTGCTGAACTAAAGACGTAAGGGCCGTTCACACAGGGTCTTTTCAGGGTCTATTCCTTGTTTAGTCCCGGTCTAGTCCTTGCTTAGTCCCGGTCTAGTCCCGGTCTAGTCCCGGTCTAGTCCCGGTCTAGTCCTGGTTTAGTCCTGGTCTAGTCCTTGCTTAGTCCCGGTCTAGTCCCGGTCTAGTCCCGGTCTAGTCCCGGTCTAGTCCTGGTTTAGTCCTGGTCTAGTCCTGGTGTAGTCCTAGTCTAGTTCTGGTGTTGTCCTAGTCTAGTCCTGGTGTAGTCCTAGTCTAGTCCTGGTATAGTCCTAGTCTAGTCCTGGTGTAGTCCTAGTCTAGTCCTGGTGTAGTCCTAGTCTAGTCCTGGTGTAGTCCTAGTCTAGTCCTGGTTTAGTCCTGGTCCGGTCCTGGTGTAGTCCTGGTGTAGTCCTAGTCTTGTACTGGTGTAGTCCTGGTTTAGTCCTGGTCCAGTCCTGGTCCGGTCCTGGTGTAGTCCTGGTGTAGTCCTAGTCTAGTACTGGTGTAGTCCTGGTTTAGTCTTGGTGTAGTCCTGGTCTGGTCCTGGTGTAGTCCTGGTGTAGTCCTGGTCTGGTCCTGGTGTAGTCCTGGTGTAGTCCTGGTCTGGTCCTGGTGTAGTCCTGGTGTAGTCCTGGTCTGGTCCTGGTGTAGTCCTGGTGTAGTCCTCACGATCGTCTCGGTGATTGTGGTGTATATATTTATGTTCATGTTTGTGGTTCTGGTTCTGGGGTTTTTCTTCTTGATAATAACGTCGCTGCGTCTCTGGATACTCGTCCCTGATTGGTCGACGCGGCTCGTCTGACGCGAAAAGTTCAGCATTTTCAACTTCTTGACGCTGACGCCTTGGACGCGCGTCTAGAGCGTCGCCGCAAAAACGCAGGACGCTGTAGTCGCGTCCACATCGACTTTACATAGAAACTGGACACTTTGACGCTCTGGTGTGAACGAACCTTTCGAGAGAGTAAAGAGCAAACACGACTTTTCTAAATGAACTTCCCCAACACTGATAAAGATTCACTCAAAGACGCGAATGAAACAAAACACAAGTCCAGCTCTGTGTGTGACGACGTAAAAACATCAGAACATGAATTAGAACTCACAGTATCATTTTTGTGGGTAACACTTTATAACTACACCTCACTCGCCTTAATAAAGCATGAACAAAGACTTCATTAATAATGAACAAAGACTTTATTAATAATGATTCAC